GTGTTAGCCAGGATGGTCTCGAACTCCTGACCTTGTGATCCGCCCGTCTCGGCCTCCCAAAGTGCTGGGATTACAGGCTTGAGCCACCGCGCCCGGCCAAAGAAGGAATTTTTAAGCAAAACACAATCATAACTTGGAGATTTGGGATAGATTTCTCAATCTATAGTGCAAACATTGAGAAAGCTTTTCTTGAAGAGGTATGGTTGAACAATCTTTTCTTTTTCTTTTTTTTTTTATTTTTGAGACAGGGTCTGGCTATGTCATCCAGGCTGGAATACAGTGGCACAATCTCAGTTCAGTGCAACCTTTGCCTTTAGGCTCAAGCAATCCTCCCACCTCAGCCTCCCAAGTAGCTGGGACTACAGGAGCTCATCACCATGCCCAGCTAATTGCACTACCACACCCTGGCTAATTTTTTGTTGCTGTTGTTTATAGATATGGGGTTTTGACATGTTGCCCAGGCTGGTCTCTAACTCCTGAGCTCAAGTGATCTGTCCTCCTCAGTCTCCCTAGTGTTGGGATTACAGGCTTTCGTGAAACATTGAGCCTGACCTGAACAACCACTTGATAAAGAGATAATGGATGTGACACAAGGATTTAATCAGCCATCTCAGCAGAAGCTAGGAAGAGAGATGAGATTATTCCAGCAGAGACACTGCCAATTTGAACTAAAGTAGGCAGCAAAAACAGAAAGGAACAAAGGAAGGTTGTCGACTTTTTGAATTCTATAGAACAGGATCATAGAGCTATCTGGCTGTCAATGTGTACTATTCTTTAAGAAAAGGAAAGACTGACCCACCAAAGGCAATTTATGAGATCATTAGGGGTGCCATTTTCTTTCTTTCTTTTTTTTTTTTTTTTTTTTTGAGGTAGACTCTCACTCTGTCACCCAGGCTGTAGGGCAGTGGTGCGATCTCAGCTCACTGCAATCTCCACCTCCCAGGTTCAAGGGATTCTCCTGCCTCAGTCTCCCAAGTAGCTGGGATGACAGACTAAATCTGTAGCCTGCCGAGTAGCGTGCCTGCCACCACACCCAGCTAATTTTTGTATTTTTAGTAGAGATGGGGTTTCACCATGTTGGTCAGGCTAGTCTGGAACTCCTGACCTCAAGTGATCCACTCTCATTGGCCTCCCAAAGTGCTGGGATTACAGGCAGGAGCCACCAGGGCTGCCACTTTGATCTAAGACTCAGAGAGTATAGATGGGATAAGGTGGGGGTGGGAACAGGTAGTCAAGGCTGACTCTACCTCAAAGGTAGGGTAGAGAAGATGACTACCATCTTCTTCAAAGATGCCTTGAAGAACTGGGCAGGAGAGTCCCTCACAGATGGCTGCCTGGGCGGGACCCCAACAAACTGAAAGAGCGAGACTTCAGGTAGGGCAGATGGAGTAGGCCACCCACAGAGCCAGAGGTGACACTGCGAGAGCACTGGGCCTGGAAGTCAGGGCATCAAGCCAAAGAGGGTTTTTCTTAAGACCGAACATAATTTGCCTTGCCAGGTTTTGGACTTGATTAGGACACATTACACCTTCCTTCTTTCCTATTTCTCCATTTTCTAATGGGAATGTCTATTATGCCTGTTTCACCACTGTACCTCAGAAGCATGTAACATTTCTGGTTTCACAGGTTCAAAGCTGGAAAGGAATTTTGTCTCTGGATGAATCGCACATTGAGTCTCACCCATAACCTGATTTAGATGATTTTTTAGATGACACTTTGAACTTTAGAATTGATGCTAGAATGAGTTAAGACTTTCAGGGGGCTGTTGGGATGGAATAATTTTTTTTTTTTTTTTTTTTTTTAGGAGTCTAGCTCTGTTGCTCAGGCTGGAGTGCAGTGGCGTGATCTCAGCTCATTGCAAGCTCCGCCTCCCGGGTTTATGCCATTCTCCTGCCTTAGCCTTGAGTAGCTGGGACTACAGGGGCCCGCCACCAGGCCCGATTCATTTTTTTGTGTTTTAGTAGAGACGGGGTTTCACCGTGTTAGCCAGAATGGTCTCAATGTCTTGACCTTGTGATCCACCCGCCTTGGCCTCCCAAAGTGCTGGGATTACAGGCGTGAGCCACCGTGCCAGGCGATGGAATAATTCTTTTGTATGGGAGAAGGACACACATTTTGGCAGGCCAGGGACAGAATGTTATGGACTAAATTGTGTCCCCCAAAATTCATTTATTAAAACTGTAAACCCCAATGTGACTGTATTTGGAGATAGGGCCTTTAGGAGGTACATAAAACTAAAGGTCATAGGATAGGGCCCTAATCCCACTGGGGCTGGTGTCCTTATAGAAGGTAAGGAGACACTTAGAGCTCATTCTCCACTCAGGAAGCAAGGAAACACCATATAAACACACAGTGATGGCAGCTGTCTGTAAGCCAGGAACAGATTCTCACCATACACTATGTTGGCACCTTGATCTTAAACTTCCAGGCTCCAAAGTGTGAGAAAACGAATTTCCATTCCAAGCCTCTTAGATATGGGAAAAAATATTCTGTTGTTTAAGTGATCCAGTCTCTGGTATTTTGTTATGGCAGCCTGAATAGGCTAAGACAATGAAGGATGTGGTAAAACTTTAGGTCCCAACCACATACCAAAGAGGCTGAAATTTAGCACACTTTCTTCTTTCAACTGTAGGCAATGTGCACAAGTTCTAAATCCTAAGACATGTTGGCTCCTTTACTCTGCCCAAACTACAAATCAAAATCAAACACCTGTAATATAATAACATCCAATGAAGTTCTGACACTTCTTTAACATGACTACACTAATTCAATGCCAGAAAATTAATTTTATTTTGAAATCTACATGCCATATTCCAATTTCTGTTTAAGGTGCAATGGTTATATTTATCCTTTTTAATATAGATTTATCAGGCTGGGCGCGGTGGCTCACACCTGTAATCCTAGCACTTTGAGAGGCTGAGGTGGGTAAATCATCTGAGGTCAGGAGTTTGAGAGCAGGCTGGTGAACATGGTGAAACTTGTCTGCAGTATAAATACAAAAATTAGCTGGGCATGATGGTGCACGCCTGTAGTCCCAGTTACTAGGGAGGCTGAGGTAGGAGAATTGCTTGAACCTGGGAGCACGAGGTTGCAATGAGTGGAAATCGCACCAATATACTCCAGCCTGGGCGACAGAGCAAAATAATAAATACATAAATAAAATAGATTTATCAGTTTATCAATAATATAGTTTTTTTTCTAGGTGTAAATATAGGTAATGACTGTCTTTTAGTACATTTTCTCATGATGCTCCTCTTACTTGGTTTGGTACAATATTAAGTATTGAAATACAGAATCTTGTCGCTACATATGAACCCTTATTCCATTTGCTCATCTCCAATACACATGGGAAATTCTCAAATTGCTAATAATCTTATGATACACATGATCTTATGATACATATTTAACAGGAATATATAAATTTATAATTATAATTTAGGATCAACAGATGGCAAACCTTTAGAAGGTTTGTATTTAACCTTAAAATACAATTTTTTAAAATTGGTTATAAAATTTCTAATACTTTCTTTTTTGTGACCTCAAGGGGAAAATATAATTCTTATAAAAAGAGTTCAAATGATTTACAGAATACAAAAAGTGAATAGAGATGATGGATGAATTAAAGGAAAGGATATTGCTCCATAGATTATTTGGAAATTTAAAAAGGGAAATTACAACTGCTGATTTTGTGTTAAACTGATCTGCTTTGTTCAGGATATCTTATGTACCAAAAAATGATTTTATCTCAGCCTCACATCTCAGTAAATTCCTGAGATAAACTTTTGTCCCTGGTGCCTTTGGTAATTGGGAGACCTCTAGGTTTAGCATTCTCATCCACTCGCCCCAATTTAAATAGTCCTCCCCAGGGCCATTCAGGCAAGGTAGATGAAAACTTGCTCAAGAGTTGGAATCCAATTTAAGCTACCGAAATTCACTGCTCAATAGAGAATTTTCCCCAGAAGTAACTAGGGCTTTTGGATATAATAGTGGCTTTTCAAAGTAGAACGTAAAGTATTTCCGAGATAAGGAGACAGGACAGAGCTATGAGGAATGTCCTTTGTTTAGGGAGTAGGCCCTTAGCAGTATCTCTTAGGTATGAACTGGTTAACTGGCACCTTCTGTTTCTCTGAAGTTTCCAGAACAAACTGCCAATGCAATTTGGATTTTCAGAGTAGGTTTTTTTTTTGTTGTTGTTACTTTTTTTTTTTTCTTGGAGACAGTCTCACTCTGTCGTCCAGGTTGGAGTGCAGTGGTGCCATCTCGGCTCACTGCAACCTCCCCCTCCTATGTTCAAGTGATTCTCTTGCCTCAGTCTCCTGAGTAGCTGGGACTATAGGCGTGCACCAGCATGCCCAGCTAATTTTTGTATTTTTTTAGAGATGGGGTTGGTTTTTTTTATTGAGATGGAGTTTCACTTTGTCGCCCAGGCTGCAGTGCAGTGGCATGATCTTGGCTCACTAAAATCTCCACCTACCGGGTTCAAGTGATTCTTCTGCCTCAGCCTCCTGAGTAGCTGGGACTACAGGCACCTACAGGTGAACCCCACCATGCCTGACTAATTTGTGTAGTTTTATTAGAGACAGGGTTTCGCCATGTTGGCCAGGTTGGTCTTGAACTCCTGACCTCAGGTGATCTACCCACCTCAGCCTCCCCAAGTGCTGGGATTACAGATGTGAGACACCATACCTGCCTTAGAAGACATTTTCTATTGGAAAGAGAAAACACGATTAGCAACCTATTAGTGTTTAATACTTAATGTCTTCCTTAGTAATAAACTAAGTCTAGAACAAAGTGCTTCCTGGCTGCCTAGTCATCGATTCATTCGGTTCCACATTTTCTTAATGCCCAACCACCAAGTGTCTCTTGTATGCCAAGTTCTATGCTGATTATCAGTAATTGAATAAAAGGGGGTCTAGATCTTAAGTATTGCTTAAGATGAAAGCCTCTAGGTTAACAAACTTAACACAATGTTTCACTACTAAACAGACCAAATACAAAATCTTGTTATTGGTGCCCAGAGAGAATTGAAATTCAAGTTTTCTCTCTCTCCTTTTCTCACTCACCACAATAAGTCAGTTGCGTCAAGTCCTGTAGCTCTTTACTGAGCCATCTTCTTACCTGTCCCCTTGTTTCATTTGTCACACCCTAAATAAAAATTGTACTGGCTTTTTTTCCTGGATTTACAGTGTTAATACATTGTCAAGATTTACCTCTTCATGTAGATTCCCTGGAGAAAATTACCTTTCCTCCTTCCCTTAAATTCTTCAGAGAGGTTAGAAAGCCATTGGTAACATTCTGGTATGTGGACAAAGTTTACCCATTATGTATGGATGTTTTACTCTTTTTATTTTTCTGACAATAATCTCTTAAGGAGGTGTGGTTATAGAATAGCCAGCTGTTATAAGTACTGTTTTTCTGGCCTTGGAACTTTTTTAAAGCTGTTTCTTAGTTTGCTCATCTCCAAATTCGGAATAAGGATAAAACCTATTTCTAAGATTGTTGGATTAAATGAATTATAATACTGGAAGCTCATGAAATTTGCCTGGCACACAGTAGTGCCTAATAAACCATCTCTCTTATTTAGCCTGTTGTCTGATTTCAGAATCTACACTTGCTGAGCCAGATTCTTTTCATTTCAAGGTGAGCAAAAGCATGCAAGGAAGAGGAGGAGGCAGGAAGAAATTAAGCCCTAGGCCAAGGTCACACACCGATTGGGAGCTGGAATCAAAGACAATTTGGCCTGGGAATGAAAAGGATTCCAAGGCCCATATAAAGCAGTTCCAACCTTAAGATCCAAATTCTCGGACATACAGGAAATGCTAGGGGGAAAAATCCGGTCCTCTCAGCCCAAGAGCCATATGAAACCAGACCTTCCTCAAATCTGATGACTCTCAGCCCAACTGCCCATTAGAATCGTTGTAATTTAAAAATATCCTCGGAAAATTCTAACATGTGGCTATCAAAGGTGATCACTTGCTTTTATGCCACTTTGTTTTCTCCCAAACGGGACATCCAACCCTTTTCCTTTGAGGGTAGTTGTAGGGAAAGGAGTGAGTGGAAGGAGGAAAGAGCGGAAAAGGCTGGACCCGCCCCAAGCTGGTGTCAGTATCTGGGAAGTGGGAGGAGCGTCAGCAGTAAACAGCCTCTGCTTGGATTATTATCTCCTGCCCACACACTCAGATTTGAAGACTCGAAACAAAAAATGCAAAACGTTTCAGTGGAATTCCAGAAGCGTTCGACTAAACGACTGGGGTCTGTTTGGCTAGTCTGAGGAGCTGGGCGCTGAGGCGTAGGCAAGACTCAGCCCGCCTAGACTTCCCTGCCCACTTAATTCCGATGAAAGCAGAAACCGGCCGGGCGCGGTGGCTCACGCCTGTAATTCCAGCACTTCGGGAGGCAGAGGCCGGCGGATCACCTGAAGTCAGGAGACCAGCCCGGCTAACATGGTGAAACTCCGTTTCTACTAGTGGCGGGCGTCTGTAATCCCATCTACTAGGCAGGCTGAGGCTGAGGCGGGAGAGTCGTCTGAAACCGTGAGGCGGAGTTTGCATGCCGTGAGCCAAGATCGCGCCACTGCACTCCAGCTTGGGCAACAAGAGCAAAACTCCATTTCAAAAAAGCAAACAGATTTCAAAAAGCGCAGAAACCGAGATCCGGAAGAAAACCTCGGCGAGACTCAGAATCCAGGAAAACAGGTCCCTAGAAATTTGCCCACGGTCCCAGATCTCCATTTCTTGTGGGTGGGGCAGCTGTTACCAGACAGAAGCAAAGGTTTTCTTTTTTGGAGACGGTGTCTCACTCTTGCCCAGGCTGGATGACAGTGGCACGGTCTCGGCTTACTGCAACCTCCCCCTCCCTCCCACCTCAAGCGACTGTCCTGAGTCAGACTCAAGAGTTGCTGCAATTGAAAGGTATGTGCCACCACGCCCGATTAGTTTTTGTAATTTTTTTTAGAGACGAGTTTCATCATGTTGGCCAGGCTAGCGTCGAACTCGTGACCTCAGGTGATCCGCGCCCCTCGGCCTCCCAAAGTGCTAGGATTAGAGAAGTGAGCAGAAAGCAAAGGTTTTTGAGTGGCCACAGGCCCCAGTCTCCTTTTCTGGCTGTGCTGGAAACCTAGACGCTTGAGTCTCTTAAAATAAAACAGCACGTTGCGTGTCAGGCATCGTTCTAGAGTAGAGACATTAGTCTGTTTTTTAGACACCTTTCAACTTCTTGGTTAACTTTTAGACAGTATACTTTGCACTTTAGCAGGAATGGAACCTAGAAGTTTAACAGAATTAAGAAAATGAGGCTGCCTACAGCCTAAATTGAGAACAAAATAGAAGGGGGACTAGTCGGAGGGCCGAACGAGGTTACCGTCACGCTACAGTTTTGCCTTGAATTTACATTTTAAAAGCAATCAGTTTTTAGATCACCAGGTATCCCTGGCATGTAAACTAATTAAGCACCAACTATGGTCGATCTTACAAAACACTAGACTAGTTAGTTAGAATACAATGATAGCACATGCGAACATTAGATCCTAACTGACCTAATAGACCAACCTTTAGTAACACCGTTCCCCAAAAAACTGGAAAGCAAGAATACACGTTGCTCCAGATTGAGATAAAATTAACTTACCTTAGTGCTTTTTTTCCTCGTACGTACAAGCAGTGAGGTTAGCTCTTCCTCTGAAACGGTAGGGGGGCTCTGAAAAGAGCCTTTGGGTTTGATAGCGTTTCCGGAAGCTCAGATGCCTGTCAAATCACTTGCCCTTAGCCTTGTGGTGACTCTCGGTTTTCTTAGGCAAAAGCACGGCCTGGATGTTAGGAAGGACGCCGCCCTGAGCAATTGTCACCCGGCCTAGCAGCTTGTTGAGCTCCTCGTCGTTACGGATGGCCAGCTGCAAGTGGCGCGGGATGATGCGGGTCTTCTTGTTGTCGCGAGCCGCGTTGCCGGCCAGCTCCAGGATCTCGGCAGTCAGGTACTCCAACACCGCCGCCAGGTACACGGGCGCGCCTGCCCCGACCCGCTCTGCGTAATTGCCTTTGCGGAGCAGGCGGTGCACTCGGCCCACCGGGAACTGGAGACCAGCACGAGAAGAGCGGGATTTTGCTTTGGCGCGAGCTTTCCCTCCCTGCTTACCGCGTCCAGACATCTCAATAACACAAAACAGCACCAAAACAAGCAGTCAAAGCTTAGGAGAAAACAAACAAAATCGAAAAACGTGTAAAACATGGCTGCTTTTATAGGTAGTTGCTGGGGAGTAAATCCGACTTTTCGATTGGTCGGTAGCAAATACTAGTCAGGTAGCCAATAGAAAAGCTGCACTTTCATACCTTATTTGCATAGCTCGGCCCACGGATGACAACTCTGCAGTTTGTCTTCCAATTAACTAAGAGGTACTCTCCATCCCTCATTAGCATAAAAGCCCTATAAGTAGCAGAAATCCGTTGTTTACTTCCGACACATTTCTGGTGTTAAAGATGCCTGAGCCAGCCAAGTCTGCTCCCGCCCCGAAGAAGGGCTCCAAGAAGGCGGTGACCAAGGCGCAGAAAAAAGATGGGAAAAAGCGCAAGCGCAGCCGCAAGGAGAGCTACTCTGTTTATGTGTACAAGGTGCTGAAGCAGGTCCACCCCGACACCGGCATCTCTTCCAAGGCGATGGGGATCATGAATTCTTTCGTTAACGACATATTTGAGCGTATCGCGGGGGAGGCTTCCCGCCTGGCGCATTACAACAAGCGCTCGACCATCACCTCCAGGGAGATACAGACTGCCGTGCGCCTGCTCCTTCCCGGAGAGCTGGCCAAGCACGCCGTGTCGGAGGGCACCAAGGCCGTCACCAAATACACCAGCTCCAAGTAAACTTTTCAAGTAAGCGTCTTAACACTTAACCCCAAAGGCTCTTTTAAGAGCCACCCACATACCCACTAAAAGAGCTGTGGCCAGACGCCAAATTTTTATTTGGCGGCGGAAGAGTATTAGGGATTGGAGAAGGGTGGGGACAACTACTGCAACTTAGAGAGGGACAAAGGGGCCTGAGCCTGAAAGAAACCAGCCACTAAAAATGGGTTTGGGGTCAATTCGTTGCGCTTAAATTTAAAATGGAGACAAGCGGCCATTTTGCTAACCCCGCGTTCCCGGAAGAAACCTCAGGCTCGCGTGGGTTTCGGACCCAGTTGTCTGTCTGTCCCTGTTTACGTCGCCTGGATCAACGGCTGCCGTAAAGTCATAATTTCGCCATCAGTTTCTAGCCAATAGGCTGTCCTGTCATTTTTAATATTAACCAATCGAGAGAAAGCTGGTTTGAAGCCCTTATTTACATAGCGGACCGGAGTGGAAACCTGGGGAGTAACTGGCTAAGGAAGGACACCCCCTCTGTTTTCGTGGCGCACACCTTCCTAATATACTGAAGGCTGTGTCTCCTTGGTTTCCAACTGCCCCGGTAATAAAGTCCTTTAACATAATACGTGTCGGTTTTGATAAGAGTAAGGCAGTAAGAACCTAAAGATGTAAGCACCGCGGCAGATGTTGCTTCATACATTTTATTCTATTCAACTGGTTTATTCAAGATTCAAACCAAATTTTACTTGAATCCCAGGGCTCAGCCATAAATGGTGTGTTGCCTGATTGAAACTTAAAATCTCTGTAGGGGGCTTGTAACATGCAGAAAAGGTTGAAAGTTGCTTTAGAAGAAGCCAACTCTAACTTGGGTAAATTGACAAGCATTCGAACACTGAACTGAAGGCGAGTAAGGACTAGGCGCTGGTTGGGAGAATGAAGAGGAGACGCCATTAAACTTAGCACATACACTGTGTCTCCTAGAAGACCTTCCCTTCCTAGACAACTGCAGGCCGCTTTATGGCCTGGGAAATACCACATTCCCTTAAGTATTTTACTCATGGTCTTTTCCAGGCAAAGATTTTAAGATGAAAGTTTAGAAGTAGTTTACCTATCTTTTTATTCAAGTCTAGAACACGTTTGTAGCACCTTGAAGTGAAGTTTGCTTTCTCCATTAAAAACTGGGAATATACAATAAATTAGTGTTAAAGCAGATTTTTACAAATTTAAATACCGTGTAATTTAGGTTACAAAGTTATTTAACATAAGGACTGTGTGATCTTAAATCTGCAATTTCTTTCACAACTGGAAAATAAACTAAGGCCTCTCTTTGGTGTCAGACAAGGTCTTATAGTTGAACCCTGCTGTGCAATCACAGGCTGCCTTGCCTAGATAACTTATCTGAGAAATTCTGATGAGAAATGAAATTTCCAGAGCCCCTCACAAGTAAATTTTCTTCTTCTTTTTTTTTTTTCTTTCTTGAGACGGAGTTTCGCTCTTATTGCCCAGGTTGGAGTGCAATGGCGCGATCTTGGCTCACAGCAACCTCCACCTCCCGGGTTCAAGCCATTCTCCTGCCTCAGCCTCTGGAGTAGCTGGGATTACAGGCATGCGCCACCACACCGGGCTAATTTTGTATTTTTACTAGAGACAAGGTTTCTCCATGTTGGTCAGGCTGGTCTCGAACTCAGGACGTCAGGTGATCCGCCCACCTTGGCCTCCGGAAGTGCTGGGATTACAGGTGTGAGTCCCCTCGCCGGACCTAAATTTATTTTTTTATGCCTCTAATGGACCTGGTCAAAGACCTATTCACATTCAGACTGACCTCTCTTCTACCTGTCAACTAACTAATCAGTGTAACCAAAATCTGCAAGCAAAATTCAGTATTCCCAAGCTGATTCTTTCCCCGCCTTTTCCCCTTTCTCTTACGTAAATTATGTTTTTGCCTGTGTTAGATGAAATAATTCTATTGCTTGTTCTCTCTTCTGTACAAGTACACAGTAAGCAAATCATTAACTTCTTGGTCATTTATTTCTGAATTTTCCACCAAGACAGTGTTTATGTGAGTCATACAATAAGAACCAACAGAAATGTGTGTCGTGGAAACGTCTTGTCTAGCCCTGAACCCTTTGAGTTTTCTGTTCACATTCCTTTGGCTTTTGCATCCTGAAAGTTTATCGTCCGCGATAAACTTTGGTTATTCTATTTGAACTTGGCTGATTGGTTGCATATTGGTAGCAGTAGTAGAATTTGAATTATGGTTTTCTGGTCACATCATTAAGTGATTAGTCAGTGGAGAGGACAGGAAATCTGGTTTATTTATTAACCTTTTTTTGGGGTGTTTTTGTTTGAAGATGTCGATATTCTTTCTGAGAACACAAGGTTAGAGAGTTGGTGTTTTTCTTTCTGGCTTTATATGGGATTTGATGTTTTGTGCTTGTATGCCTCTTTCTACCTTCGAAAACTTGTCTTTTTTGAGTCCAAATAGTTGTCGATATCTGCAAAACCAGTATTCCTGTGTTAAGATGATATGAATATGAAATAGCTGCCCTGTTGTAACTTTTGACTTTAAGAAAGTGTTAAGACTAACAGGAGACAAAAAGGAAATCAAGGAAACCGAATGTCTGGTCTCAGTAACTGCTATGCCAAAGGCTCTACAGCTTATTATTAATTTTACTAATTTCACATTATTGCCCCTTCAGGTTCTTTAAGTAAGGTTAGAGGATAGAAGAAACATCATGTTGTTACAAATTGGACTATTGAGTCAGGAAAAAAAAGATTGCTTTCAATATCTGAATAAAACAAAGATTTAATATTTTCTAAACCTTAATGAGTTTATTGTAAGGGATATGACACTGGAAACTAGAATTTTTTACTAAACTGAGGATCAGAGAATTATTCATATTTTCAGCAACGGTGCCACCTGAGGGACATCTGATCTTGATTACATACCTTTATTTCTTTAACTGATCAACATACTAAATAGAAAACCTATGGCTCTGTTTTTAATCCACTTTAAATTCTGTTGTATTAGCACGGTTAGCTTTTCTAATTGGCAATAAGATTGAGACTATCTTTTTTTTTTTTTTTTTTTTGACATAGACTTTTGCTCTGTCGCCCAGGCTGGGGTGCAGTGGCATAATCTCAGTTAACTTCAACCTCCGCCTCCCGGGTTCTAGCGATTCTCCTGCCTCAGCCTCCCCAGTAACTATGATTACAGGCACACCACCACGCCTGGTTAATTTTTGTATTTTTGTATTTTTTTTTTTTTTGAGACGGTTTAGTAGAGATGGGGTTTCGCCATGGTGGCCAAGCTGGTCTTGAACTCAGGTGATCCACCTCAGCCTCCCAAAGTGATGGCATTACAGGCATGAGCCACTGTGCCCAGAAAAGACTATCTTATTTTATGAATTTAAATAACTGTGAAATTATCCACTTCAGGGAATTAATTATAATGTAATCTTAAATTTTAGTTGGCTTACATAAAGACTTAAAATACATCAATTTAAATAAAAATTCATTTGTCTAAAAAAAATTAAAAATTTTCCTTGTGCTTTAAATGTGCTACCTATTTAAGTTGTAACTCAGAGAAAAGAAGTTTAACTGTGAGTTTCATTAGTGTTCTTAGTTAACAGGTTAAAGTATTTTTTTTTAAAAAAAATACTTCACAATTTTTACATAACTTAAAAATGTTAATACCTTTTTTATTAGGTATGTTCTTTTATAGGGAAAATATATAATATATCTAATCAAGATTATTTTTTGGACAAATTGGCTTAATAATTTCATTTTAAAAATGGCTTTTTATCATAATGTAAAAATAATATTAGTATAATATTATAGTATACACAAGTTTAGGGTTTATTTTCTAAAAAACAAAAGCTAATTTAATTTGAGTGTACTATGTTTCTTCCACTAGCTGTACTGGTGAGATGAGTTAACATCACTTTATTTATAATTTTAAAATTGTAAATTATTCATTGAACCAAATTAAATCATAATAGATTATGTCATTTGAAAAAATGGAATTAAATTTTATGTTACTAATTATAAGGATTCAATGTGTGAGCTTAAGTACTGAATTCACAATGTGTGATAACTTTAAGAATTTAGATGAATATTATTAAATTGAGTAAATTAATGCTTAATCTTTGGATACCTGGACAATTTCTAAATTGGAGGGTACAAAATACAAATCACAAAAACCTGTGAAGTTTATGCAAATAACATTTTTACACAGTTTTGAATAACCATTGATAAACAGATAAGAGAACATACGATAGCCTTAGAATAGATACTCTTGCTTTTGCCACTTTAGATTTGTAAATCACGTACTGTATACCTGTGGGCCTAGAGGACCATGCAGGTTTTGGATGACTGCCTCTGTTTTCTTCATGCCTATGAGGGAATACAGTTGCCTGCTTTATTTAAGGGCTATGGTTAATCCAAACAGCTCTGACTCTACCAAGCAATGTAGCTACAGAGAAACACAAGTAAGCATTCAAGATAGTGACTACTTTGAGCCTTTACTTATTTAAAAAGTTGTTACTGTTTGTTAATGTGGTACATTCAATTTACTGTGGATTGTCACTCTAAAATAAGACTTCAATCTTTTTCTTATTTTTATATAGCCATGATTTATATTCATATCTTAATGTAATAGCCAATCTTCTCTGACAACATTATAACAATGCTGGAACCTCCATTTTCAGTACTTCAAACAACAAATACTGCTTTTATACTTCAGAGCAGATGGATATGTGCTTCCCAGTGTAAACCCATTTGGAATCCCACTGAGATATACACTGTCACTGAAAATACAGTTCTGAGATTCATTAAAAGACCTCCAGAATTCTGAAAGTGGGAAGTTTCCTCTTCAAAGTCTACAGATGAAGATTAGGTCTGAAAGAGATAGCTTCTTCCTTCTTTTACCTGTGGTATTATTCTGTTTTGTCCTTTTCTCCATTATCTGTCTTACCAGTTATTAAATTTTGATCTGGCCCTCCCACGTATTAAAAAACAAAGAAATAAAC